CAAGCATTGGCGTAACAGATCGGCTCTTGAAGCACCTGAGACATTGCCGCAACAGATCGGCTCCTGTGGTAGTACAATCAACGACCCAACAGATCGGCTCCCGCAATGCCGCAAACCTTGCCGTGACAGATCGGCTCCTGCACTATCACAAACAGGATCGTAACAGATCGGCTGTGGACCGGACATAATCGGATGTGGTCTAAGTGGGCTTTTGTTTCGTCACTCTCGTTCCGGGCTCAGAGTCTCTTGAGCTGCAAGGATCTCCAAAAGACGAGAAACTCGTGTTAGCCGTGCTGACGGCTTTAATCGCTATTGCCTGATGTCTTGCGAAGCTATCTCGAAGGAACAAGAATTTGCGCAGCCTTTCTCAAGCCTCGCATCGCGCTCCAGCATCCTACCCGCACTCCCTCCCGCAGGCCTGCCCGGTGAAACTCTGTCTGCAATCGGCGTCCCTTGTCACGTCGTAGCCCACCAGGTCATGTCCTCCATGTACGAGGTGCGCGCCGCGCGCACGCGGCAAGAGCTCTGCGCTTTGCAGCAGCACGTTCTGAGGCAACCCGCCAGCTGGCCGACTCTCGCGCAGAGGAGGCTGCCGCCCTTTTGAACGGCTGCCAGCAGCCAGGCGCGTGTCGGCGCACGACCCAGCTCTGTAGATGGAGCTTCGACCTGCTTCCGAGGCGGCGTGGGGTACGTGGACGGGCTGCATCTGTCGCCCGACGCGATGCCCCACCTGGTGGAAATGCTGGAGCCCTTTCTGGAGGACGTGCAACCCCGAGTATCCTGTACGTCTTCGAGTCCAGACTCCGTTGCGTCGCGAGGACGTGTCGCTGCGGTGTTCAGCGACTCCGCCCTGTGCTCTGTCCGCGACGTGGGCGACGCGTTTGATCTCGCGCCCGCCTCAGAAGTCTCGCGGGACTGCGCCGGACAACACGGCGAGAGTTCACAACATCAGGATCGGCGCGGACAGGTCGCAGCCGCGGTCCTCGGCGCCGTGCCACTGCATCCCGTGGCCGGCCGAGGACTGCGGGGGATAGGGCAAGAGCTGGCGTGGAAGCTCTCGGAGGGCGAGTTCCTGCCGGACAAGTCCAAGATTCTCGTAGTCTGTTCAGGCGAAGGCAAGACCGCAGAAGTATGCCTCGACACCACCCAAACCATCTGTCATGTGGAGTCCTTGGGTAATTCCGAGCAGCCGGATTTGCAGGAATAGACCCACAAGGTACCGGACTCATATATATGCTACCCCCCCCTCCAGAATCCGCGCATC